GGAAAGCTTTAGCGTGGATAAGTATCAGGCAAATCAGAAAGTAGACATAATTGATTTATTTATGTTTACCATCTTTCCCTCGGCTGCCGCCCTTACCCATCCAATCACATGCTCAGCTCTCCTGATGTAGAGTCTAGCCCCATGAGGGCAGTATTATATTTTGATTAACCTCCAATCAGCCCTTTTAGACAATTTCACTGACATGGCTGATAGCCAGTTTCATTTACAGTTGAATCAGAAGACAGATTGAGACACTTTACTTTGCTAATAAACTAAAGATAGGGCTGAGTAGGAAATAACTGATGCTCTCCAACAGATTAAGAAATTAGGTGGCTTTTCCACTTATGATGAAGAAATTAAGATGTAGGTGCTAACACTGGCTTTCTTCACTGAACTGAAAGGAAGAGGGATAGGCTGTTTGGTGTCTGCCTCAGGATTCTTCACTGCCATTGATCAAATCTCTATAGAACCCTGATAAAATTTTCTACATTTTAGAAAATATTTCACATAAGATTTATTATCAAGCAACCATAAAAGCAAAATAATCCTGAAATGTATTTTTAAAAATTAGAAATATTATTTCATTCCACACATAAGACAAATGTTTCCCAGCACAATGGGGACACTGTATTTTAATATACCCAGAGTCTTTTCTTGGAAGACATGAAGTCTAGAAAGTCACATTTGTTGACATTAATATTCTTAATTCTTCTGTGTGTGTCTCTGTGTGTGTGTGTGCATGAGTGAGTGTTTAATATTTTAGATGATAACAGATTTTTTAAGTATTTATAGGGAAAACCTATTATAATTTTCTGTAGCCGAGTGCTACTTAAATCATTAAAATAACATAAGAGTATGTGTCATCATGAGAAATTATCTTAATCACAAGCACAAACTTCCAAAAAGCCATAATCAGCAGCCTACCTTTCTACTGTCACAGAACCCATGAGAAACACAGTCTAAAGCAATGTGGTAAAAAAGCATATTTATGAGTACAGATGATGTTAGGAAGCTGCTATCTTCCTTGAAAGAAAGAATTTTCTTTCCATCCTTTGTCTATTGTCATAGTACTCCAGGACTATTTAAGAAGCATTAGCTTTTCCTTTTAGTAGCAAACATAGATGACTTTAGGAGAATAAAAAGTGAAGTACAATTGGAGCAAAAGGAAACATACACAGACCAAAGGAAAAAAAAAGTTAAGTAAAGGACACAGCCATGAAGAAAAAAACTGAAATTAATTATTGGGGAAAACAATGAGGGAGGAAGTTCTTGAATTTAAAAGAAATTTCTAATTCTCAGATATCTTCTGTTTTTCATGATCAAATTGTTTTCATATGTGAAAACAGAATCATATCATTCATTATTTAAGTGCTTTTTAAAATAGCCTACAAAGAAATAGATACAACTTTTGCTTTAAAATATTTATTTCTCACATCTTGGTAGTGTTTTAGATTCAAGTCTTTATTCATTGTACATAACCTACTACAATGCTTATTTATTCCCTGTATTATTTTTAATGCAATCAAGTAATAGAAACAAAATATGTGTTTCTTTTGTGGCACTGCTAAAGATACAAATAAATAATTTCTGGCTTAAAGGAATTTACTATGTAGCTGAGGAGTCAATATGCCATACTTTGTAAAAGGATTTCTAAAGATAGGGCAATAAATAGGTGCCAAATTAGTGGCACAAGTAATAATCAGCAAGTTATTGGAACAAAGAGAGATAGATAACTATTTCAGTGATCTGATGCTGCACAACAAACCACTCCATAATTTAGCAGCTTCAAACCACAAGCTTTTCATTTGTTCACATCAGCAATTTAGGTGGACTTAGCTAAGGCTCTTTTGCTGGTTTCTCTTGGAGTTATTCATGTATCTACAGATACCTGGAGTCACCTGGGGCTGAATTGTCTAAGATGATCTCACTCCCATCTGGTGGTTGGTGCTGGTTGTTGGAGGGCCCATGTGTCTGCAGTAGGCGAGGCTTAGCTTCTGCACATAATGACGGTCTTCTAATAAGACATGAGTGGAAAATTGAAG